GTAATTATCACCCAGAGTAAGATGGGGAGTGTTTGCAGTGTCCCAGAAAGTCCCTTGGGCCTCCTTCCCTCTCTAGGGTTATCACTCTCCCCTGTCCCCTTATGAATTTTGCCTGCTCTGGAACTTCACACAAATGGAATCATATGGTGTATGACTTTGAGCCTGAGTGCTTCTATTTAACTTTACATCTTTGTTAACTCTTATCTTCTAACCCTTCTTTTGAATTTAGTTTGGCTGTTCTATTTTTATTTTTCAAAAGCTCTTCCTTATTCTCTGAAACTTTTTCATACCACCTTTTTGTTTTGTTTTGTTTGATGCGTTCTTTTGTATCTTTTTTTTTTTTTAATTTTTTTTTTTTAAAGATTTTTAAGTAATCTCTACACCCAGTGTTGACTTGAACCTACAACCCCGAGATCAAGAGTTGGGTGCTCCATAGACTGAGTCAGTCAGGCACCCCCTCCTGTAATTTTTCTGATCCCCAAATGTTATGTTGGAGATTTTCTATAAATGTCTGGCGAACCTTGAAAATCACCATTACTAACAACATATGTCAACATCATTCTGGTCATCATTCTTGACATTAATACAGGTAGGAAGTTTAGATAGATAGATGGCTAGAAAAAAAATTTTTTTTTTTTTTTAAAGATTTTACTTACTTAATTGACCCAGAGAGAGAGAGAGTGAGCACAAGCAGGGGAAACTGCAGGCAGAGAGAGAGGGAGAAGCAGGCTCCTCGCAGAGTAGGGAGCCCCATGTGGGGCTCAATCCCAGGACCGTGAGATCATGACCTGAGCAGAAGGCAGACACTTAACCGACTGAGCCCCTTAGAAAAAAAAATTCTGCCTTCGGCTCAGGTCATGATCCCAGAGTCCTGGGATCAAGTCCCACATCGGGCTCCCAGCTCAGCGGGGAGCCTGCTTCTCCCTCTGACCCTCTCCTCTCTCATGCTGTTTCTCTCTCTCTCTCTCAAATAAATAAATAAATAAAATCTTAAAAAAAAGAAAAAATTCTAAAGACAGGAAAATTCAGTATATACTAATTAAGAATATTGGAATAAATGTGTGCAAATTCAACATAAGGAAAAGTAAGTGTATGTGAAGCAGTTGCTGGATTTAGGCAGTGGGTTCTTTTACCTAGTTTCTAAACGATCCTTCTGAAGCTAAGAGAATTACATTCATTCCGTTTTTCAGTTTTAGATCATATGTATTTGGCTTTTTACTATAATAAGGAAATTTATGTCCTGCTCTACTCCAAATATTGTAGTTTTTTTTTTTTTTTTTTTATTTCTTCAAGTAATCTCTGCACCCATTGTGGGGCTTGAACTTACAACTCCGAGATCAGGAGTCACATGCTCCCCCAACTGAGCCAGCCACATGCCCCATTTTAGTATTATTTGTACTTCATTGAGGTTTATAAGTCTGTACTCTGTCACCATGATTGTCACAGCTAATAAGCTTTTGTTCTGTGTTTCAGTGGTTTGTGTGTTCAAACCATTCTTTTCAGTGAGCTTTTCCATTCCTGAATCTTTTATTTTGATTCTTCTCTGGCAGCTACATTCTATCAAGTGATAGCCTTAAGGAGGGCTTATAGTGGTTATTCTTACTTCAGAATGTCTGCCTTTGTATTGAAGGACAACCCATGTATAAAATCCTGAGGTCCCATTTTCTTTCCTCCCGACGGTGGTAGACCTGCTGCTGTCATGTCCTCACAGTGAGAGCCCCTCTGGCTCTCCTGTCATCTGCCATGGCCCCGTTTCACAGAGAAGTACATTTTTCTCCCACTCCCTGAGATCCTTTATATTGAGATCTTTAGGCTGTGAGTGAAGTCTGAGGGTGGCCTGATTTCCCCCCGCTTTGTAACCGTTTATGCTATAGCACCTGTAGATTTTTCTTTATTCCTGAAGTCCAGTCTCTGAACTAGCGTGTCTTGCTGTTGCATTGTTCCATAATCCTTTCATCCTGGGACAAGGTGGATTTTCAGACCTGCATTTAGTTTTTCTTTCTTTCTTTCTTTCTTTTGAATTTCTGAATATTTTTTCTGTTGCATGTGTAGCTTTTCTGAGAAGCAGTAACAGTTGTGTTGGTCACCTTTCTTCTCCTGTACTCCCATCTTTCCTCTTTCCCTCTGTGTTCACTGCCATTCTCTTAAGCCTTCCCTTTCTACCTGTAATTACATTTCACCTGTCTTTTCTGTTCCTTGTGGCCTATGCTGTTTTTCATTAGATGCATACTGGGGCTGTTTTGACCTCCACATAGTTTCCTCTTTCTCAGTTTCCTCTTTCTCCTACCCCTCCCTCGCCCTTCTATGCCAGGGCCCTGGGCTCAGGCCTCATGTTCAGTACTCCGCTGTTTGGTATTTTGTTCCATCTGATTCCTTGCCGCTGCTCCTTTGCTACCCTGGTGGCTACCAGTTCTCAGACTGCAGCCTTCTTATGCCCTCTGCAAAGTACATGTTGCATATTCTGGTTGGAAATTATCTCAAATTCACCAGGTCATTTCTCCCAAATCAGCTCTATTTTGGCCTTGTTAGTTCTGTCTTTGGTGCTTTTCTTTCCATATCCCTGCCTGCATTTTCTTTTCAAAGTGTTTTTCCTGGGGCACCTGGGTGGCTCAGTCGTTAAGCATCTGCCTTCGGCTCAGGTCATGATCCCAGGGTCCTGGGATCGAGGCTCACATTGGGCTCCCTGCTCAGCGGGAAGCCTGCTTCTCCCTCTCCCAGTCCCCCTGCTTGTGTTCCCTCTCTCGCTGTCTCTCTCTCTGTCAAATAAATAAAGAAAAAATCTTTAAAAAAAAAAAGTGGTTTTCCTTTGCTGCTCCAAACCAGTTGTCTAGCTCCTCATGTTGACTTGTTTCACCGTTTTGATATCAGCAGGAGTTCTTGTTGATCATGTTTTCTTGGTGTTATTCTTCATGGCTCTGTACATTGATAAATTTCTGTAAGCACTTAGGATTTGTGTGTGTGTGTGTGTGTTTGTGAGAGAGAGAGAATCCTTTTTTGGAGGTAGTGTGTTCTCTTAGTGTGATATTTATTTATGTATGTGTGTAAGTTAAGTAAGCAAGCAAGCTCCACACTCAACTTGGGGCTCGAACTCATGACCCCGAGATCAAGAGTCACATGCCCAACCCACTGCCTGAGCCAGCCAGGAGCACCATGAAATTTTTTTTTAAGATTTTATTTATTTATTTATTTTAGAGAGAGAGTGTGAGCAGAGGGAAGGAGAGAACCTCAAGCACAGTCCGTGCTGAGCTTGGGGCCTGACACAGGGCTCGATCTCAGGATCCTGAGATCATGACCTGAGCCGAAATCAAGAGTTGGATGCTTAACTGACTGAGTCACCCACGGACCCCCCATTTTTTTTTTTTTTAAGTAGGCTCAGTGTCCAGCATCGATCCCAACAAGGGCTTGAACTCACGACCCTGAAATCGAGACCTGAGCTGATATCAAGAGTCAAATGCTTGGGGCGCCTGGATGGCTCAGTTGGTTAAGCAACTGCCTTCGGCTCGGGTCATGATCCTGAGTCCCGGGATCAAGTCCCGCATCGGACTCCCTGCTCAGCAGGGAGTCTGCTTCTCCCTCTGATCCTCCCCCCTCTCATGCTTTCTCTCTCTCAAATAAATAAATAAAATCTTTAAAAAAAAAAAAAAAAAGAGTCAGATGCTTAACCAGCTGTGTCACCCAGGTGCCCCACCCCTTGCCCAGCCCTGTGACATATTTTTAAATGATTTTCAGTGATGGGCACCTAGGTGGCTCAGTCAGTTAAGCAAGCATTTGCCTTCGGCTCAGGTCATGATCCCAGGGTGCTGGGATCGAGCCCCACATCAGGCTCCCTGCTATGTGGAGAGCCTGTTTCTCCCTCTGCCTGCCGCTCCCCCTGCTTGTGCTCTCTCTCTGTCAAATAAATAAATAAAATCTATAAAAAAAACCCTGATTTTCAGTGTCCAGTATCCTAGACAGTTAGGATATAATAAAGTCTTTAAAGTATAATAATAAATATATAATAAAGACTTTATAATATATAAAGACTTTAAAGTATATTTCCTATTAAACCTGCTTTTTGTCATCAGCGGTCACTTACTGTGGGGAGGAATGTGGCTGAAAGGTAGTGAACACTGGTTTTCCTGTTTCCTAATTTTTTCAGCTTATCGGGTAAAATCACTCCTGTAGCAACACCAGCTACCCTGATATTGCGTCATCGTTCTCCTTCTATTATCTTCTCATTGCTTAACCTCTTTGTTTTACATTGAGCACTTAAGATATGCCAGGCTCTGTTCTAAGTATCTTACATGCACTAGTTTATTTAATCCTCCTCACAACAATCTTTTCTTTTTTTTAAGATTTTATTTATTTATTTGAAAGAGCGTGCAAGCACGAGCACAAGTAGGGACAAGGGGCAGAGGGAGAGGGAGAAGCAACTCCCTGCTGAGCGGGGAGCCCGACATAGGGCTTGATCGCAGGACCCTGGGATCCTGACCTGAGCCGAAGGCAGACACCTAACTGACTGAGTCACCCAGGCACCCCTCTTCACAACAATCTTATCATCATGATAAATGCGGTTATTATTACAGAGCAGTGAAGTCCCTTACTCAGGTGGTAGAACTGGGATTTAAACTCAGGTAGTCTTGCTCCAGAGTCTAGGCTCTATCCACTAAGCAAACCTTTAAATAGTGCGTGTATCTCCTAACATTTCCTATTTGTTAGAATCCTGAATATGGGGCACCTGGGTGGCTCAGTTGGTTAAGCGACTGCCTTCGGCTCAGGTCATGATCCTGGAGTCCCGGGATCGAGTCCCGCATCGGGCTACCTG